AACTTTAGTGCAACCAAAAATTATAGTTATATAATGATGAGTCCTGCTTAAAGTCGTTAAAAATTTGAAAACCTTATTATATATATATATAATATATATTCAAACGATTGATAGAAATTATATTCATAAAGTATGACAACTGATACCTCTCAGGCCCAAGAGGTTTTAACAAAAATCGATAATTACGTTTCACTAGGTTCGAGTGGGCTAAAAGTTTCTCCGCTATGTCTTGGAACAATGGTAAATTATACATTACAAATGTCTTAATTCTTTATCGCTTTTTGCTTTAATGTCACTATCAGTTGATTTAATCGTCAATCAACCGTTGAGAACTTTTTTGGCTTTTGCTAAATTATGCTATCTGAAATGTGCGACATAGTTAAATATTTTAAGACATCACTCTTTATACCGTTTAGTTAAAGAAAAAAGTTATTATTACTTGCATTCTAAGTTATATTCTAAGATATGGAAAGATAAAATTAAAATAGTTATTTTAAGTGTTGTAAAAAATATATATATTTGATTAGACGTTTGAAAAATGGACCAAATCAACAATTTTATCAAATCCCAAATTAGCTCAGAAAATTTATCATTTAAAGAATAAATGCTGTTGTAATAATAAAATTTTATAGAATAGCCTTTTAATTTTGTATTTTCTTATGATTTAACATAGATGTTATAACAGAACAACCAATTTCCCCAAAACTTATTTTTTGCTACTTTTATTGCATCCACTTCATATCATTATTGTTTCAAAATATAAATTGATCAATGATTATTATTTCATTCAATCATATTAGACATTCGGACAACAAGTAAGCTGTAAATGCAATGATTGGATTTATTAAATATATATTCAAATAAATATTAACGGATTTCGATAAAGGATGAGACGGAATCCAAACAAGTGTTTGATAAGTATTATGAACTTGGTGGAAATTTCTTTGGTGAGTATTGAACATAATTGTTAAAGAAAAAATGGGTATAATCTGATTTTGAATTTTGAAGCATAAATTATAATTGAAAATTCTGAGATCAATAAATAATTTTAACACATTTTCAGATGCTTCAAATTTTGGAAATGGCGAAGTTAGTTACGAAATTAAATTGTTTTAGAATTTACTATAATTTTTAAATTACTTTAAATATCATTGCTTTTAGAGTGAAAGCATGCTAGGCAAATTTATAGCTGATAAACGATCCAAAGTCATAGTTTCTACAAAATATTCAAGTGAGTTTTAATTTAACTATCTTATATGTTATATGGTTTTTTTTCACGTATTAAGTAGTATTCTAATCTCTGTTCAATATTATTAGTTCATCCGAAAGTTCAAGATCCAAAAGAACCTAATTTAGGTTAGCAAGAATATAAGTCTCATTTCTTTCTATAAATTTACATCTTAATTTTTTTAAAAAATTACAAGGTAGTGCGAACCAAAAAAGTCTGGTTGAAAATCTGAGTGCTAGTCTAAAACGTTTAGGAGTTGATTATGTCGACATTTTGTATACACATATTGATTATGATGATAAAATCGAAAACATATTAAGGGGATTAGATGATGTGGTTCGAAGTGGCAAAGTACGTACGTACGTACGTACGTTTGTACGTGCATGCTTGAATGTAACATATTTGATATTTATCCGTTTTCAGTCACAGTTTATAATATTATATTATATACATATACATAAAACAATATATAACAAAAAAAGGCATTATACATTGCAATAAATGATACACCAGCTTGGGTTACCAGCGAAGCAAACGCAATATCAAACCTTCGTGGGTGGAGGTAAGTAGAATATGCTCATTGTATTTTATATATCAATTACTTATTTTTACTTTTCAACCCAAATAGTCAATTTATCGCATTATCATCACAATATAACTTGATCGATCGTTCGTTTGAGTTCGATCTGCAGCCTATGTGCTTGAAACATAATGTTAGTTAAACTTTTTTATGCCAATTCATATAATATGATAGTACCATAATAACGTTATTTATTTATATGTAAAAATAGATCGGCGTTGTCTCGTATAATACCATTGCTTCTGGGTTATAATCTATTCTTTTATATTATTCTTGAGCAATTTCTCTTTGTATTTTTCTTTATTAACTCATTTATATCCATATTCATTTTAAAACATAGATTTTTATCTAACCAGTACACTAAAGAATCTCTTGCTTCTGATAGTGAATTCCCTGCCAAGAAGGTCGTTTCTGAGTACGCAGAGAATGAGCAAAATTGGAAGATCCTTGAGGAAGTTGTTCGAGTTGCTGAAGAGTCTGGAAGAACACCTTCTGAAGTAATTACATTTATGAAATTTATGAATCAATTTCTTTTTTCGTCATTTATGCTAATACATTTTTTTATCAAATTGTATAGGTTGCGATCAATTGGACTCTTCAACAGCCAGGAATCACATCCGTAGTGGCAGCAGCAAGAACCTTGGAGTTTCTGGAGGAAAACATAAGTGCTTTAGAATTCAAGTATGCTTAATATTATAGAATTTATTGAATTTTATGTTTGATTTCATAATTTGTATTATATCTTTTCGCTAATTAATTTATAATTTAAATTAGACTTACTCCAGAACAACTTTCAACTCTCAATAATATTTCATTACCACGTGTAATTCCATTTGCACAGTTTTATAAACCTAATCCATTGCACTTTGCTTCAAAACCTACATCTGAATATATAGCGTCTTTGAAGAAACTCAAAACATCTAAATCGGATACCGAATAAGATAAATATCGTTTTGGTTCTTAGGTCTAAGAAACAAAAATATTATAGTAAATTTTATATGCGCCTTGATGTTTACATATGTCGTGCATAAAATCAAATTTTGATGTTAGAACGTCATCTTATAGATAGGGCCTTTGTTTAGTCAAATCGTGGATTTAAAAAACTGCGAAAGAAGTCATAATAATACTTTCAATCTCAGTTATCTATTATATTAAAATACAAACATGACATTAAAGATAATAAAAAAAAACTTTAAATGCCAATAAATATCAACAACCAAAATACATGCGTAAGACTGTTGAGAAATTTTTTTAAAAGACTTAAAAACATTTACTTACAAGTCTTCTGGTTTTGAAATTGGTGTGTGTATGGTTTAGTAAAGTAGTGTATAATACATTAAATAGCAAACATGTGTGCATCACAACTGCGGACAAAGCAATATATCTGTATTTTGTGTATATAATACAGTCAGGGGATATACCAAATTAGGCAATCAGGTTCTGGAATAATCGACACGAAGATCCATGAATTTGATTG